TATCCAGGGATGTGCTGCTGCTGATCAGCGCAATGTCATCGGCAAATTGAACTGATGAAGACTGGTTAGCTATGGTTGGAACTTCGCGGGTGTAGATACTGAAAAGGATCGGTCCTAGAACAGAACCTTGTGGCACGCCACAGGATGGTGCAGAAATGGCACTCTGATCCCGTCCAATACAGATACGCTGAGTACGGCCCGACAGATAGGCGGAAAACCACTTTAGGGCTGTCCCTGTTATGCCGATATCGAATAGGTCCTGGAGTAGCCGTTCATGACGAACCTTGTCGAATGCCTTTGACATATCTAGAAGGCATATGCCAGTACACAAACGCTTGTCCCGTGCACTAAGAATACGATTTAGCATAAGTACCAGGGCATCCTCCGTTAAGTGGCCTGCGCGGAATGCAAACTGAGTCGTGGGGAGGGTACCAGATATGTCCAGAAACTGGGCTAGCTTCTTTTGTACGACTTTCTCCAAGAGTTTTGATAATATGGGAAGTAGGGACACTGGACGGAAGTTAGTGGGAATAGACGGGTCCCCAGCTTTGAACAGCGTTCATTCACGCGGACATCATACTTGCTTGAGCGATACCACATAATTAGCTTAGACAAAAGATATCATACTAAGTCCATATTCTTCGTGTTCCGTTGCATCCACAATATCTGCAGTTCACTCCTCTCTGACATGTTCTCCCTTCGCCGTGACTGCGCTCACACAGACAGAGTAACCCGCGGCCAAGTCAATTATTCCCTTTCCTTACCCATTGTGCAAGCCCAAGCTGGATACAGATCTATTTCATTCCTTGGTGCTGACCGCTTTAATGCGCTTCCCGAATCCCTTCGCACAAATCATATCCCCAATTCATTTCGCCAGGAACTTAACAATTTCATTCATCTTGGGCACCCTGTAAGAAGACCTTAGGGTCTGTTGGGAATGCCCAAGTAAAATAATAAAATATAATACAATACAATACAAAACAGCGGGATAACGTGTGCGAGTTTGAAGGCTGTGGGGACAGTGCCATTGACAAGCGAGGCATTAAACAACGTGGCCACGGACGCAGCTAGGATATCGGCACAGCACTTCAGAAGGTGACCAGGTATCCCGTCGCTTCCTGTTGCTTTGGCAGGATTGATTTGTCGGAGAAGCCGTTCTACTTCGCCAAAAGACACTTGCGGCAATTCTGACATTGCAGTCTGAGGCTGTGGACCTTGCGGTAGCGGGATGCTGTGAGGACGGGCATTGTCTGTTACTACTGCCTGGAAGACTGACGAAACTTCTTCAATGGGGCAAGTAGGCTCCACACGTACTCTCTTCATGTTCGTAACGGAGTTTATGACGTTCCAGAGCTTACGCGGGTTCTGACTGGACGCGGCACATTGCGCTTGGAAGAAATCGTTGCGCTTTCGGCGATAGGCATTTCTGGAGCTTGAGCGTGCTTGCTTGAACTGTACGTGAAGATTCTGGTTTCCCTTATCGCGTAGCCACCGTCGGTGTAGCTGGTTTTTACGTTGGTTGAGCTTGTGGAGCTCTCTGTCGGACCAGGGCGGATGGGATTTGCGGTTGGAGGATACATAGCGGATGGGTGCATGCTTGTCCACGACAGCCAAGAACTTGTTGTGCCACGACGCCCATATGGTGTCCACATCCCACGTGTTAGTAAAATCATCCAGCCCTGCGGAGCTGACATCCCGACGGAAATCACAGAGGTTCACCGACCGAGTATTTCTTTGAGCTCGGACCCGCTCTACTGCCTGAGGTGACACGCTGCGAGAAACCTGAAGGTGCAGGTTAGCCTCAATCCCAAAGTGGTCGCTAATGGTCAAAGGCAGGACGTGGCACTCACTGATGTCTTGACTAGCTGAAAGAATGAGATCGATAGTTGTACCTGATGGGCACGCCGGTGAGATACGAGTTGGAGCATGAACGTGATTAGTGAGGCCGTAGCAGTTGCAAAGTTCGAGAAATTTCCGGGCGATTGGACAAGGTGGGTAGGGGGTTGAAACATTAACGTTAAAATCACCAATGACTGTGATGCTTGGGTTGTCCACGAAAGCCCTGTGCAGCTGCTCTTCAACATTCTGCCAGTACAAGATGGGCTCGTCAGGTGGCCGGTAAAAGCACCCAACTAGTTGTCGCCTTCGTCGCCCTTTGACTTCGATCCAGGACGATTCAATGTTAGCGTCGGAAAGCTCTGGGCGCGGTTTTACCTGGAGTCCGGAACGGAAATAAAAGCATACACCGCCACCTCTGCGCACTGGACGATCGTGCCGTATCACACAGTAACCTGGTATATCAATATCACTGTCTGACGTTGTGCTGTCAAGCCAGGTTTCTGCGACGCCAAATATGTCGAAGTTGTATTGCTGTAGGATATCGGCGACCTCAGCTACTTTGTTTCGAAGACTAAAAACATTCAAAAAGCCCAGTCTTATGAAGGACTGTGTCAGTGGGGTAATGCGGTGAGCAGGGGCAGAAAGGTTATTCTGGGTACAAGAGCCATGAGCACTGGGACCTGGGATGCCAGCGCCAGCCCAAGGGGAGAGATGTTGACTGTGTACACTAGTAGTTAACTTGGAGGGGGAAAAGCTGGGTGCTAAGGGATTAAGAGACGCCATTAACATTTAAAAAAGATACAGCTAAAGAAATTGTGTTCTGATGATCTATCATTACTAGGGAAAAGGGGATCAGCATGGGGATTAAGAGCAAGTGCAGTAAGTATAAACCGTAATTACCTTCATTGCACTAGTGGCTTCCTCTGCGGGCAGCTTCAACTCTCTCTGCCAGCTTCTTGCGCTCACGGTTTGAACACTCCTTAGCCCACGCAATTTGCGGGTCGTTCAAGGCAGAGGCAGGTGGCTCAGTGCGCCCTGATAGGACAGTGGCGGAGAAGGTGTGTTTGCCTGCTGCCAGTCTGAAGCCATCGTCATCAGGAGAGGGGGCTGTCCCGCTGCTCTTTTCTTTGTCTCCAGGTTGGCTGAAAGCCGGCACATGGTTACTGGTATCAGTTGTGCCAGTGCTGGTCCCATTGGCTAAAAGTGCCTGGCGATAGCTGTTGACTGAGGCAGTGTTCAGCCCTGTGTTGCTAGCTGCACCTGTCTCCGCACTGACGTCAGCTGGCTCTACAGCGGCTTCTGCGGGCTGGGTAGTCACCGTACCCGTATCAGTGGCTGTACTGACGCTGGGAGGGTTTGTACTCGTACCGGTTGTGTTGCGGTGCTGTGCTTGTGGAAGCCGGGAAGCTGTAGACTGTGCCCCACGGTTGGGACATGCTTTAGCCTCGTGGCCACTGTTGCTGCAGCGCCAACATGTTTGCTGTTGGCCGCGGTGCCATACTCGCAGTTTCAACTGACCTACGGTAACCGTAGATGGAACTGGTGATCGGAGGACCAGGCTGAGAACACGGGTGCCAGTACTTATTTCCAATCCCTCAAACAATACTTTTTTCTGTTGAGGCGACCCTACAATTCGGCCGAATTGGCCCAGCGCAGCACACAATTTACTGTTTTGAAGCCCGACAGGGCACCCAAACACATGCAGATGGGTTAAGTCCACCCCGGAAATCTCGCAGAGCACCTGCTTACCGGAAATCCGGATTCCTGCGTCCAGTATCTTTTCCCGCTCAGCAGAACTCTTCACTGTAACAACGCAATGACCAGGCTTGCCCTGAAGGTCCACCTGGCAGACCTGACATATATCTACCTTACTCTGCTTGAGCGCCTTGGCGTAAAACAAGTGGTCTGCAGACCAGTCCTTCTCAATCCTAAAAGAAAAGGAGGCCGGAGCAGGAGCTCCAAAACTGCCAACCGTCTCCATCGTACAGTGTAGTGTGTGTGCTAGGCCCTGCACCTTGGTGTATTGAGCACTCTCACGAGCAACCACAACTCCCTCCGAGTTTACATGTAGCTATATAGAAAAATAAGGGAAAAGTCAACACTTCAACATAGGCGATAAAATGGTTAAAGTGTTAAAAACTCAAAAACAAAAGCTGCAAGTGCAAGTTTTAGACAAACACGTTGAACACATCAAGGTCCTAGTGACCGGCGGATTCTGCTCGAAAAGGTGGCAGATTCTGCTCGAAAAGCAGTGAAATTGGCAGACCCATACAAACCTTATGGCATGCAATTCCTCGAATTCTGCTTCATTTCTTTATCCACATACCAAACATGCATTAAACTTACCAGAAAAAGTACCGAATTCTGCCAATTTTTCTGCCGGCAGAATCCGCTGGACCCTACCAGGGGGTTTATCTCTTGCTGGGAGTCTACTTCACTGTACTGTATTATGGTTTGAAGCCTGATGACAATCATGACCATGATGACAGTCTAGTGATGTGCATGCCAGCTACCTGCAGTCTGAAGTGCTTGCTGCACGTGCCCGGAAAGCTGTGTGCGAGGGGAATCTCGCACCAGGTACTTCCCCGGACATAACTGCTAACGAGGTGAAGTCCCTCATCTGACATCGGGAGATCGCATCTCGGCGGCTGTCCAGCTCAAATGATCATAATGACATTTAGGGAGCCTTCGAATTGTCACTCTTTGACTTTTCGAGGAAATTCGTTTTTCTGAAGAGGCGGCCTTATTGGCCTCTTCAGAAAAACGAAGCTCCTTGAAACTCCACAACTTCATCCCATGGAAGAGGTGGATTAGTTTCGAAGAGTTTGGAATAGCTACGTCACGTCGTACGTGGAGATGGTCGATCTGATCGGACGTCATCATCGCCATGACAATTCCACTGAAAAACTCTAAAATGATAGAAACCGTTCTAATGGGACACTTCAACTAATCTCTTTATAAAATTTGTTTGAACAGTTGATGAAGACAATTCGAACGCGGCCTTAGTAGGGCGATCTAGGCTGAAGCGTGCACCGTGTATTATGTGTATGTGGCCGTGCAAGTATTTAGCTTGCTACGCCCATCATTCGTTCGCTGCGATCGAGCATGCTGCTATGCATGCGTGTGTGTCAATATAACACCTCGCACATGCTTGCAGCGTCCGTTTCTACTCGATCAGACCTTGTGAATGGATGAAGATCGAGTGCTAGTACAGTACATGTATCGGCAGCGCTTGCTGGGCATTGCCAAAAGCCTAGATTCTGATTTCGTGCAGAAGCCGGTGATCCGTAGTGTGGTAAATCGACCACTACCACTGTGCCACTGCACTGCCAGCCTCAAAGTTGCTTACTCGCTCTAGACGCAGAGTGCAGGTGAGTTCTCCTAGCCATACATAACTTTATCGCTCCCTTAGTATTGACTCCCATAGAATTTTGCCATACCTAAGCAGTCCAAAATTCCTGCATATATCACTCCTTTGGGCTATATTGACCGCTTATGTTTGGCTCCTTTTTAGCGATTGAACACAGGCTTTGGCTTGTCGTGATAAATGCAATACTGACTTCGTACTTGTGATGTTGTGATGAGTTGGGAATGCAATGAATTGAAAATATGGCCGAAAGCTCTGTTGCAATATTGACTTCGTACTTGGTCAGTATAGGAAATAAAAGACCTCGTAAAAGACCTCGGCTTTTCCTATATTGACCTTGTACTCAGTCAATATTATTATTATACGTATCATTGTACTTGATGCAATAATGATTGTGAAAGACATGCTACGAGCTTCCCCCTTGTACAATGACGTACAGCAGACCTGCATGTAGTACCTAGACTAGAGACAGTACCGACTCCTACGTGCCGGATGATTCTGAATGATTTTACTGTCTCTTTTTGTCTTCCAGCTTGCTCCCAGCCCAGGTATTTCAGCTTAGATCGCGGAGCGTTCACACTCTGGTGGTGTTTGCGACGGACTCGTCCTGCTGCGCAGATCTACACTGTCGCCAGCGTAGGCTGTAGTGCCGTGATCGTGAGCTCATCTCAGCCGCTTTCTTCTTGACCTGTTGTCAAGGTCTTCACCGAGCGAAGCAGGGCGCACATCGGCAGATACCCGCTCGGCGCTGGTCTGATCTACCCGCACCGGTCGCATTATCGTGCCAAGAGCACAACGGAGCAGCGAAGAGAATGGCGCAGCGGCCATACCGCGACCCGCGCCCACCCGAGGGGGGCACAAATAATACTGTAAGTGCTGACAGCTGGATAATAAATTATTATGAATTTAAAAATAATTTTATATTCATATATTCATACAGAGGTAGTACTAGGTGGCAACTGAAATCCGATTACTAGTGTCGTGTTCGAGTGCAGTACCGATTCAACATCCAGCTGGGGTCAGCCCACAACATGCTGCAGCCAGTGCAGGAAAGCCGGGTGCTTGGTACAGGGAATCCGAAGTCCATGCAGACGTTTTCACGCCTGCAAGGTTGACCGGCCACAAGTTCTCAGTTAACTCCAGCCGAGTCTCGCGCAAACCGTGATTTTTTAAGGTGACCAGGCGCTTGGCTGCGCTTCATGAAGCCCAGAGTCAATGCAGGGGCTTTCATGGCTGCGAGGGAGACAGGGTGCTTGGCTGAGCTCCATGAAGCCCAGGGTCCATGCACAGGCTTTCACGGTTGCAAGCTCATCAACCCGTGTACTGTTTACTCCGCTATTCCACACGTGCCAGCAGAGTTCCAGCCTGCCTGAAATTCAAGACGGACGGCTGGAAACGTCTGTGGATACGTAGAGTAACGGCCGGTGTAGATTTACATCGCTCCGCCCGTAGATTATAGAACATGCACCTACTGCATATTGCCATTTGAACACTCAATTGTACTGTATTCTCCAGAAAATTTGGCCGCGCGCACTGGAGTACATAAGCCGTAACCAGATTTTTGGCACGAAATACAGACATTTACTCCATTTATCACCGTTAATGTGACCGTCATAGTTTAAGCCGACTTTGTTTGGGTGAATTGGTGGTGTTTAAACTAGCACTGAGTCGGGTAGCATTTTCTTCGGGTTTCGGGTTCAGGTAGGCTTCCACGGGTAGCACGGGTACCCGATCGGGTAATGTTTCCATGGTAACACCACAATGCACCCCTTCCCTTACGCACTGGGTAGACATGCGGAGTGTTACATGAATTTGTACACATGCACTGTACATGATGTCATCTGCGACTTGAGGGTTTCTGGTACTATTTTGTACCCGTCTTTCCGAGGTCCTCACCAGTAGCACGGGTGCCCGACTACCCGTGCACACCACTAGTTGAAAGTGCTGTTTATAGTCCGGAAAATACGGTAGCTGTAAGCCAGCACATACCGCCGCATGGTGGGTTACCACTCTACAGTGCCTAGAGGACTTTAACGCACTCTGCATAGGCGAATACAGTGTTACTAGTATAGCTAAAACAGAAGTTTTTCACGAGTGTAGCCATGTTACCTTGCACTGTTCAGTAGTGCATTCTTGAATGGAGCGGTCAGAACCTGAAGAGGAACTCAGTGAGTATGGGAGGCAAAATACATGTACTTATCATTAGAGATACAGCTATTACTAGTATTAGCCATGGTAGTAGTGGTCAAGTCCAACTTTTCACCGTGCTCAGTGTAGTGAATAGGCCTATGCAT